GGGGTCTCGGGTTGCATCGGTAGCGCCGCATGGCCTTGCATCGGGTAAGTGTGTTCCCGACTTTATTATAACACCATATCTCTGTCCATTTAGAATATGATCGTTCTTGGTACTGAATCTTAAATAAAGGCGTAATTTAGAAGTATATCGTCTGTTAATAGCAAAACTCTTCTTTTTTTAATGCTCTCATAGTAAATGTTAAATACGCATTTTAACAAATGTATGCCTGTGAAACATCTGTCTCTGCAAGGATCCTATACGAATAGACAAATGACGACATAAAAAATTATTTATGATCAGATTTTATTTGAGTTGTGAGTTTTTAAGTTTTCAAATCTAGTTAAAAAAATTTCGTTTTTATTTCTTTAGCTGAAGACATTTTTTTTAAAAACTTACACTCTATCCAATAATTGCCTGATCATCTTAATCTGTGCATCGTTGACCTTGGAAGAAACTTCCGGTAAGGACATGGCAATCTGTGATTGGTTCCTGTATTTGTGTTTCACCGGTTCGACATCGATCAAGTTGGGGGTCGAGTTTTCCGGAAAGAGAGGAAGTCTGTCGGACTGAACGAGTTTCCCAGCGATGATCTGGCTCGGCTTCACCAGGCCCATGTCGGAGAATATAAGCGGGACGTCTTTCCTGACTGCCGATTTTTCCGGGAGAATTCTATCTGTCGTACAATGCCGTTTGTGCCTTTCTTTCCTCTCGACGAGGTTGGGCAATTTGGGTGTGAACTCTTGGTCGTAAGAAGATTTGGAACCGGGCTGGATACCCCCGAGAAACCAGGACGACTCCGACTTGGGTTTCTCCACCGGCTCATTCACCTCGACTTTGTTCCTTTTGAAAAAGGAGTTGTAAGTCGTTTGATCCGGGAATTTGGGCTCGTGGGGCGCCTTGAGCGGCTGTGCCAACGGGCCGTTTGCCTTTTTCCTTTCGAACATATCGCTGAACTTTATGTCGAATTTATTGTAGGACGAGAAGTAGACGGATTTCCAACCGGGATGTGCGCTCGGCCTGTTCAGCCTCCTGCGATTTGAGTATTTTCCATGATCCGAAACCGTTCCGCACTCGTCGTCCGTCGTACCTTCGCCGATTTTGTACCTCTCGCTATCCTCAAGGGCTTCGTTCAGTCTAGACCGCACAGACATTATTTCGATCAATTATTTGGCACTAAAAATGTCGAAAATTGTTAAAACGAAACTAAACGGAAACTCTTATGTAACTCAAAACGATATTTTAATACAATATGATATCACATGGTATATAATTTTTTTCATTACATTTATTTTATATTTACAATTTTATCAAGTAAATATTTGGGCTAGTACAAAAATAATGGTGGTTTTGAAAAGGCAATTAAAACTACTTTCAATTTTTATAACATAAAGAAATTTATTCGAAATATGTTCCATAACAATCTATACATCTTCGCCAACATGTAATAAGCGCTTTTATGACGATGACATAAAAATCTATAACTCGACGCATTTCACCATTTTTAGCATAGGATGATCATTAACGACCCATTTTATTCATGGTTCATCCAACGATCACCACGCCGTCCCACGGAGAAAACTTAATGTTGGACTGGTGTAAATATAATGCAGGTTTCGAAAAGGCCGCCAAACTGTTTTTTAACTTTTATAAAATAAAGAAAATTTATTCAGAATATTTTCCATCACAATCTATTCATCTTTGCCAACGTGCAATAAGCTCTTTTATTCCGCTGATATAAAAAATCTTTATTTCGACTCACAATAAAGTCTTCGAAAGCGTTTTCGACTTCACCGCATTCTCTAAAATATATCACTCAAGAAGTAATCAAAATGCGTAAAAAAGTGGTAGTCTGTAGGCGAGAGGTTTCATATCCGAAGTCCTTAAGTTTCCGTAGTTTTTGGCATTGCAACATGTGACTTGGCGTTATCGTGAAGAAGAATCGGCCCCTTACACTTTACCAATGCTGGACAAAGAAGTTTTAGTTTCCCATGTATTTTTCAATTTCTTGTCAGTATTTCTCTGGTGTGATAGTTTCACCATAGTTCAGGAAATTATAATGAACAACCCCAGCAGTACACCATCAAACCGTCACCATGACCTTTTTTGAGTGCAGATTTGGATTCGGAAAGTTTTGGCGCTTCATCTTTGTCCTGTTATCGTACAGAATCCATTTCAAATCGCACGTGATGATTTGATCGAGAAATGGATCATTTTGGTGGTGCAACAGGAGAAACGTTCAAAATTCAAAGCGTCGATTCCTTTGTGCTTCGGTTGTTCGTTAGGTGCCCACTTGTCGAGCATATTTACCAATTTGCTCCAGATGGCAAACAACGTTTGAGTGGTCAACGCTGTGCCCTTCCGCAATTTCCCGTGTTGTCTTACGTGAATTTTCTTAAGACAACCTTTTGAGTTGGTCGTCGTAAGGCCTACTGTGACCTTCCCTGCATTCGAGATCGAAATCTCCAAGACGAAATCTCTGAAACACACCGTGCATTCATTCATGCTCCTTCCCCCCAAACTGTATAGATGTTTTCGCGGTTTGAGTTGCACTTCGCCCAAGTTTAAATTCGTACAAACAAATTTGACGAATATCTTGTTTGGACATATTTAATTTTGCAAGTCCTCATATACTCTTATAAAATTAAATATAATTTAAAATATTGAGTATAAAAAATAGATAAAAGTAGTTATTATAATCAATAAATTGATTTCAGGTTTTAACTCTGTTTACATGACAAGCACCTGCGAAAATAAAACAAATTTTCAAAACCTGCATTAACATTGCACCGACCCAATATGTTCATATATGCTGAATTGTATATATTATAGGCAAAGTTGCCCACTCCTTTACACTGAAACCTCGTCAATCACTCAATGAGGTCTAGGTCTTGGAGGATTTTCGCGTAGGTCGGAAGTGATAGTCGTACTAGTAGATTATTGTGGAGGTTCAGTGATTTTTTTATAGCGGGTTTAATGAGGTCAGGTGTATAAAATAATTTATTTTTAAATGTGCAATGTTTGCACTCTTGAATTTTATACAGCAAATTGGATATTGCGCCTCGCGTATGTTCCTCTGCACAATACGAAGGGAATTTGTTTATCAAAAAATTGCTCATTTACAAATATTGTGACAAAAAAATAGGGTTTTATAATATCATGTTTGTAAGAGAGGAAAGTGGTTTTTTTTGCCCCAAAATCTATTTTTTATGTTTTTATTTTCTCGCCTCGATCAGCTTCCTTTTCTTGTGAGGAGGTATGTAACCTTGTAATAAGATGTATACATTTTTATTAGTTAAAAAAATTGGTGAAAATCAGAAATGAGTGTTGTTATTACGTGCGTGTATTTAGTGCCGGGGATTAAGCGATAACGCGATCGCTTGGACCGTGCCAGAGGTCGCCGAAGAGAACAGTGCGGAAAACACCTACGNCGAGTGTCCGCCATGGAATAAAGTAAATCATTTATTTTTTTTATAGAAAATACTACTTTCCTCTCATATATTGATTGTTTTGTTTATTTATTTTTCTCAAATTTATTTAGAGTACAAATAAAAGTATATTTTTTTAGTTAAAGGAGTTCCCCATTACTCTGGACGCATAAAATGGGGTGGCGCCCCACTCACCAATATTTCTTTCGTTTTTAATATTTTTTTATATTTTTATTTTATTTTTTTAATATATTTTGTGTATTGCCCCTCCACTCTTACTCCCCCACTCCCGACGAGCTACCGGGATAAATTTTGCTCTGACCCGAAACAACTTTTGGGTGTAACAATATGTAGTACATATAATACATCTAAAGTTGGTAACTGGTATTTACAACCCAAATGAGTAATCATATATTCTAGATTTTAGATCTGACCTGTGCTATTAATTAAATAATGAGGATCACGGTGGCCGAGTGGTCGGGCGTCCGACTCGTATTTGCCACGCTAGCGGTTCTGGGTTCGAATTCCGGCTTAGCTCACGGAGATTTCCGACATTGAAAATAACCCAGTAAAATTATTTGGCTTACATTAAAACAGGTTTCTGTTATGATGTTTTATAGTTTGTTTTTTATATATTCCTTTTTTTATATTAAACATTATCTGAATTTATTATTTTCTGGAGTTATTCTTCTTTAAATTAAAAAACGTCCATTGCTTATGTTGAAATGCATAAAAAGCTTCTATTCTATTTCTCTCGATAATAACGAGCGCGTTAATGTAATCTCTTCAAATATTTGAGTCCTCAAAATATGCTTTTTACTTTAATGTTTAAATTTGCTTTTAAAACCAACGTAATAGGGTGATTTACCTCCTCGAAATTTATACGTTGGATACGACTGGAACAGATTCAAAATTTTAATAATAAATCCACTATATTTAGTGGTCTATTGACCTAATTAGCTCAAGTGGTAGAGCAGCGGCGTATTTGGCCGAAGGTCGTGGGTTCGAATCCCGCTCGTGGCACTAATTTTTCATTTCAACCAAAACCTTACATAAAAAATTAATTTTAATAATAGTTAATTATTTACCTGTTGAACATAAAGGCAAAAACAAATGCGATTCAGTCATTTTCTTTTATTTGTATTTATTTATTTTTTTGTTTTGTTTTGCTAACACTGCACTTAAGTTGGCAGCATGTTTATTCTAAACATCATGCCTGACCCCCATTAATCGTTGATAAGAATGATTAATTATGTTCGAATGTTTTCAATAAGTCAACAAATCATAAGCGAAGCGTAATTTCACGGCACGCTTTACTTCCAGACACAATCTGTGCAGATACAAATGATATTTTTGAGCGGGAATTAAGGGAATGCAAATGAAGCCGTATTGTCGGCTGATTTTAGATGACCCGATTGAATCACTGTCATAGAAGTTGCTGATTGGAGGATACAATTGGGTAGTTTAAGTCGGCAAATTGGGTTTCGTTTGTCGAGTGGCTGCGTTAATTCTGATGTCAACGACGCGAGCGAATTGGTCTACTAGTCTTGGCTAATCATAATTTGAAATTTGCAGCCTCCGAGACCTCATCCAGGATGGCAGCAGATGCTCCATGCAGTCGACTTTGGACCGGCTTGCCCGCAGCCGAACAAATACACGGGGGCGACCAAAGGTGTTAGGGACGTCCACGAAGACTGTCTCTACCTCAATATCTACACTCCTAATGTAAGTACATATAAAAACAATACATATAAAAACATTCATCGGCACCACAACCACTATGAGAGTAATCGCTTGTGGTTCTGAAGTGATGAGATGTAGTAAGTAGTACGTACCCTTGAGGAACTTTAGTTTTGAATTTTTGACAGAAAAAATGTACCATTTTATTGCACGACTGCGAAAATGCGTCTGCTTGCAGAATTCTCATGTCTCATATGAATAGTGATTTGAAATGGTATGTACCCCTCCTAGCAGGCTATACTTTTTTGGCTCCTTCCTCTATCAAACAATTTCTTCCCATTCCTCTTCCTATATTTATAATCTGTTAATACATAAGTCTTGTATACACACTCGCGACACACTCGTTCCCACCCTTCTGTTCACAAACCCCCTCTCATACAAAACGAACCGTACGAATGGTTCGTAGGCTCACCCTTTCGGTTTGCGCTAAGGTCCACCTGCTCCAGACAGTATTTGCTACTCCTCATGGGATAAACAGGTGAGTTGCCTCCTTTAGTTCAGTCCCACGAAGGAAACATCAGTGGCTGCCACGGGTAGGAAGTCATATAGGAACGGGACAGGTTATGTAAGTGGTCCGTGCCACTTCACTACAACGTTCCTCACAGCCGCCGTTGTGTACCATTTAAGGGACGCAGTAGACATGATCTTCGAATTCTCGCATGATGTGCACTTCCTGCTTTCGTCCGGTGCATCTTTGCTTGTGAGGGGCTTCATGATCTAATGCATTCGATGCCGGTGGGCATTCGGTGTGTTTTTATTTTGTTCGTGTCAGAAAACAAACTAACCATTTAAAGTAAATTCAGCATGACACCTACTTTCAACCTTCATGGGGGTGTCATCCCGTAGGCAGTCGGACCGGGCTCGTTGGGTGCGTTTTGCTTTGGTCTGTGTGGAGCGCGTATTTACCATGGTGCCATGGATACAGTGTGAATGGTTTTTATCACGCCCCGGACAATAATAGTTAAAATAATATAGATAATAATGATAGTAAGAGTGCCTGGCCGCCACCCTGGGGACGTCTGCCAGGTCGCTTGCTTTGGTTTTCGGGCTCCTGCATGGAATAAATTTTTCTTAATAATAAATTGTTTTATTTTACTTGAATATAGTTTTCTGCCTTCGTTGTGCATATATTTCAAGGTTAATCTATATCAGCAGATATGTTCTTTTTCGTAGAATAAGCAAAGAATATGACAAATTGTATCAAATGAGGTTATATTATGTAAAAAATTGCAAAATCCAGACACTTCCAGCAAAGTAGGAAAAAAAATCCTTAAAAAAATTCTGATTTGTTTTAAGCAACATGTAAAACCATCAAATATGATCTTAGACATTTTCGGTTGGATTAGCCGTGAACATTCTCTCTCACTCTCTCTCCCCTCCCCCTCCCACTCCCCTCTTCATTCCCTTTCACCTCTTTCTCACTCTCTCTCCCTCCGTCACTCCTTCTCTCTTTCACACTCTCTCTCCCTACCTCTCACTTCCTCCCTCTCTCTCACCCCTTCCCCCTCCCCTTTCACTCTTCCCTCTCCCACTCTCTCTCTCTCTCTCACACTCCCTCTCACCCTTTCTCTTCTCTTTCTCTCTCCCTCCTTCCTTCCGTCCCTCCCTCCCTCCTTCTCTCTTTCTCACTCTCTCTCCCTCCTCCCTCTCAAGAAAAGTAAACAACAATTTATCATTGTTGCGTTTACGTTTTAAGACAACTATTAATCTTTTACAATTTTAATAATTTAACCTAGCTATTAAGGGATTTATTGTAATGAAATATTGTTCAAGAGAAGTGAAATAGTCACATTTCATGTATACAAGGGCTGAAGCGAAATGTGTTGAATCAAAAGAATATTTAATGGGTTTTTGATTGGTCTGCCCGTTCCACTTCAGCAGCTATTTCATTCTTCATGTTCATGATAAAAGTCAAATAAAGTGACTTTCCTCTAAATCGTCATACTACATTTTCTGTTGAACCCAGAAAAATCCTTTTTTGCACCCTTCATCCTCCTCGTTGTCATTAATTTTTATTACTAAACTGCTTTTATGATACATTAAAATAGATTTAGATTTCTTTATATATTTATTGAAAGAATCCCCATCAGATAAGAATGTTAAGGCATAGTGAAAAAAGTTAGAAAAATGTTATGAATAGGACAAGATTTCATTGAGATGATTCATTAATCCTAAAAAGTTTGTTTTTGGTCAATTATTTCAGTAAAACTATATATTAAAAATAAATTTTATTAAACTACAGAAATACATTACTTCAAAATTACAAATAACAATTTTAAATTTTCCTGCAGAACATTTATTTTATTAATAGATCGATAATGGAGTCTCGCAGCCTTACCCAGTCATGATGTACATTCATGGAGGTGATTTCATTCATGGAGCTTCAAACCTATTTCCTGGTCATATAATGGCTGGATTTTACAATGTTGTCGTTGTTACCTTCAACTACAGATTAGGCGCTCTAGGTAATGTAGCATGAATTGTTTGTCCCGGCAATTTGATTTATTCTTGTTTTGCAGGATTTTTAAGCACTGGAGATCACAACTCACCTGGAAACTATGGAATATTAGACATGGCAATGGCGATCCGATGGGTCCACGAGAACATAAATTTTTTCAACGGCGATAAAAATTCTATCACGTTGTTTGGGCCTGATGCAGGTGCTGCATCTGCTGGCCTTCTTATGGTCAATCCAAGAACGAGACACATGGTCAATCGAGTTATAGCTCAGGTAATACATTTTTGTTGTGATAAAATTGATAAAATGGTTACATAGCTTGAGATTTAGCTGAATTTGGAAGGCCTGTAGAATTGATATTGGAAATAGTCAAGGGATTTCACTGAATTTGTACAATCATCTTCATGGTGATTAAATGAAATAAATGAAAGCTTTTATTTATTTATTTAATTTGAACTTTTTTTAATATCCTTAACTCTTGCATATTAGCTTGAGATGATGATATTATATATATTGTACATTTTTTTCATCTTTTTTAAAAATATTTTTTGTGTTCTCCTGCGTTCAGAAAATTACAGGGATGACAGTGGCGATGGAACCCATGGCCACTCGGCTATCGTGGGCTTAACTAATCAAAAAACAATCGTTTGAACAAGAGGTTTATGTAAAAATAAGAAGATTATAACAAAACAAGGCTAAATTTATTGCTTAATTTCAAAATTCAGTCTTGAAATTATAATTATGAACCTTGCATTGACAGCAGGCTGATTAGAAAGCCCTTCAGGCAATGGTGAATTGAGGCTAAGGCTGGTTCAACAGGACAATAGTTTGACTCGATCAATTGAAATAAATGATATTGATAAGTGATTGATTTCAGAGTGGGTCTGCTCTGGCTGAATGGGCCCTAATACAGGATAAATACAAAGCGCAGAACACGAGCAGGGTATTCGGCCAACACCTCGGCTGCTCTATTGACTCGTCATACAAATTAGTCGACTGTTTGAGAAGGCACAGGAACTTTCATGAGCTCGGAAACGCCAATGAATTTCTCGTGAGTTTTGACAAAATTTAATGACAAAATTGATAATAACGGTGTTGATTATTTCAGCCGCAAGTTGGTTTGTTCCCTTGGGCTCCTGTGCTCGATCTTAATTTCACAGTGCCTGGTAGTTCTTGGTATGAGGGGTGGAAACAAGATGACTGGGTTTTCACCAATTTTACACCAGAAGCACAGATTAAAAGAGGGGAATTCAACAAGGACTTTGCTTACATGACTGGAGTGACAACTCAGGAAGCTGCTACTTTAATATGTAAATTAAAAATTAAAAAAAAATAAAACAATGTAGAAACATGTTGATTTTTTTTTTCAGATAACAATGAAACATTATCCCCCTATTTTGACATAGATGAAGAATGGTTTGACAAGAAAGTTGAAGAAATGGTTTTTAGGTACAACTACACAATAAACAGAGAGGGCATTTTTCGTGCAATTAAATATAGATATACTTATTGGCCTGATCCTAAAAATCATACACATATTAGAGAACAATACATCGATGTGAGTTGTGATTGTGTTTTGCACTGGAATTTATAAATTAGCAATTTATTCGGTTTGCAGCTTATGTCGGATTTCATTTATCGTGCACCGACAGACAAAATGATAAAACTTTTGGTCGAGAAGAAAGTACCTGTTTATTTTTACGTCATGAACACCACGATAGAAAGTCTGCAATTGCCTTATTGGAGGAAAGCTCCGCACAATATTGAACATCTTCTGCTTACTGGCGCCCCTTTCATGGATACAGGTATTTGATTGATTAGAAAGAAAGAAAATCCCTTCTTTTATTACATAATAATAAATTTCAGAATTCTTTCCTGAAAAATTGAGATTGGACAAACATAAGTGGACAGATAATGACAGGAACATCAGCCACTTCTTTATGAAAGCCTATACAGATTTTGCTCGTCTAGGGTATTTGAAATAATTTTTGAACAAAGAAAAATTTATTTAGAGGCAAACTAAATTTGTATTCAACTTCCAGGAATCCTTCACCTCAACAAATTCTGGGGATTAGGTTTGAAATGGCATACCATGGAAGGCTGTATTATTTGAATTTCAACACAACGTTCAACTCGACAATTGAGCTGAACTACCGCCAAACTGAATCGGCATTCTGGACTTGGTACTTACCAACAGTGATTGGCATCCTCATACCGACATACCCACCATTTACTGAGGTAATAATTATTTAATTGAATTAAACATCCTAGCACTTGAAATTATTATTTCATTAAAAAACCTTATTATTTTAAAATTGTGACTATTAAGCAGCCCATAGACGATCAATATTATTGCACAATATTTTGGGTTGTGCAATTTAATTGATCGTGTGTAGACGATATTGAAAGTTTGTGCAATACATTGACATACATTGCATAATTGACGAAAAGTTGAAAATATATTGTACAACCGGAAAATATTGCACTGTCTATTGGCATTATTGCGCAATATCAGTCAGTTTGTGAAGTACAACAAGTAGTAACAAAATATTTTACAAACTTCAATATCGCCTTCAAACTATTCAAGTTCATTGAACAAACAAAATTTTGTACAATATTATTGAACGTTAAGGGGCAACCGTCAAATTATTGTGCAATCTATATTGTACAATAATATTGACCATCTATGGGCCGCTGTAACAAACAGTTTGTGTGATACTACTTTTGGTGTTTGTCTACAAAGCTTTCATAATGATTAAAACACTTCCGATGGTTGCAAATTTAGGAGTAGAAGATACCCAGTTGAGCTCATCAAATGTTTAAGAGATAACATGATAACTAGTTTATCAGTTCGTAAAATAAGTTCGTTGCTTATTTTGATCAATTAAATGAAAATTTCAGGTGCTTGTAAACAATATATGAACCATTTTGTTCCTCAGCCTTTTGCCAGGTTCAACTTAATATTGTAATTCTGTTCTCACAGAAGTTGAAGACAACAGACCTATTGAAGTCGAGGTGCAGAAGGGCATATGGCCATCTCTTTTATCCCTATCCCTCCCAGAACTTCTTAACTTTTTATCCATTTACTTGAGCGATTCAGAGTAGGCCATGCAAGATAATTGACACATGAGTACTTACTTTTAGCCCAAAGCACACGAATTTGTTAGATATCCAGAGAAAGTTGTTCTATGTGTCCCACTAAATAGGTAAGGATAAAAAGATAACCGATAACCTATTGATCACTAATCTGGTGGACCGAAGCTCAAAAAAAAAGCAAAATACTATGCACAAAACATTAATATAAACATACAATTCTCATTTAGAGGGGAGATCTACCAGTCTCTTTGAATGTCTTTGAACCCTGCTCCTGTGAGGGTACCAGAGGAAAACTTGGTTACAGCACTCCAGGGAAACGAGGTAGTACAGGAGCCCGAACCCCGAATAGCCCTGGTGAGTTGGAGGTGAGGAGGATGAATACTCACCCAGAACGGACGAATTGTCCCCTCAGCGAGTCTAATCCTCTCCTTTGACATGGCAAGGTGCCCAGATGAAATAAGAGCTGCTTTCTACAAATTGAAAGTCAAAGCCAAAAAGTTTGGCCAAATTCCCCTGTGGTGTAAGTCGCTGCAAGAGGTGTGTACCCAAAAGAATTGGGATGTGCTGTCCTGCCCACTTGTAAAAACTGCAACGGCTATCATACTATTTGTTCTGTTTGCTGTCCTGTCCTTTCAAAAGTGAGAGAAAAAAACTTTCAAGAGGCTAGGGCTGTGGTGGAGAGCAGGGGTACTTCGGGGACATATGCCCTAGCAACTGCTCCCCAAAAAGTAAAAGTCGCCAAAGCCCTTCCCCCCATTGAATGGCCCTCTTCTCATACGTTCCTTGGAAGCCGATGTCTGGCTAACCACGCAAGGTGAGAGATCATGCTGGAGCTCTTGGTTAGGGGATATGTACCAATGGCGATACTCCTACAATAGACCCAAATCTGCCCGGGGCATATCTCGAACTGAGGGGGTTCAAAACCTTTTCGAGAAAATATACCAGTATATGAGGTGAGGATAAACTCTGACATCCAGGCAATCGCAGTATCGATGAACGTCCCCTCTAGATGGATCATGGCACAGCAGTGGGATCTCTGCTCTGGTTGAGCAGCTCCCCCTTGCCAGTTATGGTGTTGGGCGATTTTAATTTGCACAACACATGGTGGGGATCATTACACTCATACTCTAGGGACATAGCGATCTGGTCCTCCTAAACACTGGTGCTGCTACATATATCAATTTTAGTCCAGGAAGTTTTGTCGCGATCAACCTGTCATTGACCTCACCATCCCTGGTCGCCCGGGTAGAATGGGCTTCATGGGGACCCCCCTCACCTGAGTGACCACTTATGAGTGTTGAGAAGGTCCGTCTCAAGAGGGGTTTTTCACACCCATGAAGTGGAGCCTGAAGCGAGCAGATTGGAAGCTTTTCTCTACAATGGTGCCGCACTCGAGTTAACAGGGAATGTTGGCACCAATCTCCTCCTATTTGAGAGGGAGATAAATCGCACTGCAGGCAGATCTATAGCCAGGACTGGCGGGTCTATCTGTAGACCCAGGTTCCTTGGTAGATCGATGCCTGCGGCCATGCATGTGGAGAAGAAGCAGGCATTCCAGCACTTCAAGACATCCAACAGAGGGAAAACCACGTAAATTTTAAAGTCAAAAGAGCTAGGGAGAGGCTTACCTTGTCAAGCCAAAAAGGATAGCCTGGCAAAGTATTGTATCAGAAATGACTTATACTGTGAATGAAAGTATGGGACATGGTCAGAGCCCTCTCTGGCAATCGAAACCTCTGTTGGTGTCAATACAAAATTGACTACCAACAAAGTGTGACATCTTCGGAGGTCGCTGAAGAACTGGCAGGGCACTTCATTATTCGTGTCCTGTTCTGAGGCATGTTCCAAAAGATTCCGGCAAAGAAAAACAGAGGCGGAACATACTAATGACAGCAGCACCAGTGCTGCTTATGATAGGAGAGTCGAGTCTGTGTTGGGGTGTACCTGGAATTCAAGCCCTAGGTGTGATGGTATTTCAATGAGATGCTTCGCCACCTTCTCCAGGGTGCAAAGCATTGCTTGTTGGACTTCAACCACATTTGGGATTCAGGTTCATACCTATCCTTAAGCTGGGTTGCAGTTGTGGGTTTTTAGTGTGCATTGATGTGTTACACACCGATTTCATTGATTACCTGTTGAGTAAGGTGCTGGAGTCCATGGTTAATGGTTGATTAACCTGGTACCTAGAGACTAAGGGATTTTACGGCCAGTATTAAGCGGGATTCCGTAGGCATCACTCTGCAGTGGATTATGCCTGTCTCTCAAGGGCAACCTACAGGGCATTCTTGAACAGAGAACATGCTATGGCTGTGTTCTTCAACCTTGAGAAAGCATATGAAACAATGTGGAGATAAGCAATACTCTGGAAATGTCACAATTTCAATCTAAGAGGCAAATTGCCACAAGTTTCCTGGAGAACCGTAGGTTCCAGGTCAGGCTGAGAACCATGCTTTCCTGGGATCACATTGAGGAGAGTGGTATCCCTTAGGGTTCAATGATGAGCATTACACTTTTCTTCAGGATGGTGAAAGGTATCACTGACGCCGCCCCCGCAGATAAGGAGAATGCCCTTTGTCAAGGACCTCTGCTTCTACCATTTGGATAAGGATCTGGCGGAGGGCAGTGGTAGGGTGCGGTCGGTTATAAACATTGTGGCTGCGAGAGCCAAGGAAACCGGATTTACTTTCTCTAAAAACGGTGTGAGTCCACTTTTGCAGATTGAGGAGGGGCACAACTGTGTGTACGTGGAGATGGTGTGGCTCCTTGGTTTCATGTTTTCGTCCTGCCAAGTTAAGATGCACAGATCGATACTGTTAAGGGGCCTGCTCCAATTGTTTTGGCATTTCAGTCATGTTTCAGTTTCTCACAATCTTCAATAATTTTAGTTAAAATCCTCCATTGAAGATAGCTAGAAGCTGAAACAAATCTGGCAGGATAAAACAGCAAAGGATATGAAAATGGAAACGTTTGCAAACGACAAGTGAACCAGTAGCCATCAACAATTTAGGATGAAAGTGTAAAGAAGGCAGCAGTAGAGTTTAGAGTGAACAACTCCAAAATAAATTACCTTTATACCATTTATACTTAACTGGAAAATAAATCTTAAAATATTTTGCTAATTAAAAAATGTTTGCCTTTACCAACTGAAGTTTGTTTAGGTTAACATTAGCAAGACTCCATAGTATGCGTATAGTCTAATATATTTTACTGTAGGTTGCTGAACTACAAATGAGAATTTGTTACAATCAATTTTCTTTTGTTTTAAGTATTGGTGGGAGCCAAAACAGCCATTACAAATTGCATTTTGGACGATGTCAGGAACTTGCCTCTTGCTCATTGTAATTGTTGTTATATTCTGTCTACTATGGAGAAGTGCAATAAGGTAAGAAACTAAGAAAATTTCAATATTATTTATTAAAATTGGATTGGACTAAAACTAAAAGTTTGTTTAATGCAACTACCAGTGATAGAAAGTACTGCGTAAGTTGGTAATATTTCGATTCATGGACAGATTTATTACCAGTTTTGCTTTTAGGCAGAACGATCGATATTACGGAGCGGACTTGCTGATGATGGATATGCAAAACGGGTTGCCGGAGGGGATAGAAAATCCCCGGAACGAATACAGGGATCTCCCGCTGAAGGCCAAACTGCACGAGAGGAAGGGTGCATCAACCCCTGCGTCACTGAGATCTAGCGATGGTTCTCTTTCAGCAAGGGACAGCGTTGTAACAAGCCCAAATGGAAGACCCAAAACACCACCAGGTAAAAGGTCGTTATCGAGGAAATCGATGATGGGATCTACTGGATCGGTGCCAATGACCCAAGTGTGAATCTCAAATTAGCAGTTACCTTATTTTAAATGCAAAGCGAAAGAAACACTATTTTCTCAGGATATTTTAACTTTTTGTTTTTGTTTTCTGACTAAGGTGTTTTCTATAAAACAAAAAATGCCATTTTATAGTTCTGTGTTCATCAAGTGCTAAAGAAGAAAATAATAATTGCTTATCTTGTAAAAAATAATCTAGTATGGACCTTTTTTTAAAAAAAAATGTATGATTATGATGATTATGTGGATTGGGATGAATTTTTTAAAAGTATGACAGAGAATTTAACAAATCAAAGATACTTAAATTAAAGAAAAAAATACACAATGTGAATGAAAATTTGTAAATATTGTAGAAAGATAACTGTTTTAAATTTTGAACAATTTGAAAAAAATTATCTGGTTGAAAATATTTAATAAACGAATCACAAAGTGCCTTAATGACTCATTCCAACGAGGGAAATGGAAACAATACAATTTTTTTTGTACATAAATATGTAAATATATTTTTTAACTCTGCCTTTTTTTTAGCTTTTAGTTGTGACAAAAAAAAAAAAAAAAAATGGTGGCTCAAAACCTTTTCTTGGAGACAGCTTTAATTTGTTGTATAAAGGAATAATAATCAAAAGCCTTTTGTCGTGAAAAAAAAATTAAGGCATTGATCTCCTGTTTTAATTTGTAGATATAGCCTTATTTTATTGTAGGTGAATTTTCCATAAAAGGTCGTCTTTTTCTGTGCAATCTGTCAGAAACTTGTCTCAACGAATTTTAGAAATTTAGCAATAAGGCATATACATACAATACAGTGTTTTATAATTTTGGATTTTTTTTTAAAATTGTTTTATCAAAAATATTACAAAAAATTTTAACATAATATTGTACAAATTAAAATAAAATATGGGTTTAACATAAACAACAATATATGTATATAGTTGTCATAATTGACTGTTTTAATTATTTTAATTAATTATACTTTTTGGTCTAACGTCTTGGTCAAAAAGAAAAACCAGTGTCATGAGTGAGGTTGGAACCCACAATCTGTCAATTTGCTGCTGCTCTAAGGTCGTGGGCTCGAACCTCACTCATGGTACTAGCTTTTTCACCTGAACCAAGATATTAGATAAAAAGTATGATTCATTAAAATAAACAATTTTTTTTTTTTAAATTTACGTGCAGTTATAAATTAAAAGTCCAAAAGATTTGTTTAGCGTTATATATAATATTTTAATAATAATTATAACTAACTTAATTCAATACCATATATATGTTTACGGTTGGGTTGAGCTATGTGAAATAATATTAATTTAACAAAAAATAAAAAAGACAATTTTATTTATACATTTTTTAAATTCTATGAATAGTATCAGTTTTGTAAAACAAAAATTAATTTTAATTGTTGATGGTAGTTTTTAGAATTATATATAATTTGTTAAAATTCCATGTTCGTGTTGTAAGAATGTGTTAAAAGTTTATTTGGATGTATATTAATAAAACAATTTACATATTTTTTCTACACAAATTCAATTTTTATTCTCCTGGTGGTTTCATTGCTGTTGATCATCTTGGTCTTAATTCAATGAATCGTTTTTATTATCTTGAGATGGTGAAAGGTCAAAAGAATTCAGTGAGAACAAGCTTAATTTAATAAAAATGGTCAATAATTTTATTAAATTTCATGTTGGGTGTTTTCCCTCAACAAGGAATTGTTCCATTAACAACCTTTCTTCTATTGTACTGATATGGTGGGTGTTGGTCTGCAAGTTGGTGAACAAGTTGTTGAACTGGCACGGGCCAACTTCAGTTCTTCACTGAAAGTAAGAAGCTGAAGCGCATTTAAATGACATCAAAAACATGTGAGTGTAGACAAATTCTACAAGTGACCCTTTATCAGTTGAACAATAATTTTATTGTTTAAAATCAGCAGTCACTTGTTGTTTATATTTTACCAAACACATTCAGAAATGAGGTAGACGAAGCATGACATCCTCGTGCATCTTAATGAAAAATGGTTAAAGTGTCAATTAAAAAGTGTTTTTAATTCTAATTGAGATTTTTCAATATTGTCCATAATATTTGATAGAATGTTGGGTTCATGGGTATCCCATTGGTAATCCTTTAATTTCATAAAATTTATGGTACACAATATTTGGGCATACCCATAAAAGCCATTTTACTTATTGTATTGAATTGAATATTTTCTTCATTGTTTCCATAGCAGCATTTTTGGCAAAATTGTTTTAATCAGTTTAATTTATTTTAGTTAGCTTACCTTATATTTTTCTTTAAAAATATCCAGTAAACAAAAAAAAAATTATGATTTTTATTTACTGTTTAAAAAAATAGTAATAAGTAATAAAATGACAAAAACATTGTTACAATTGCTTGTATTTACTAGTAAAGAGAGAGAGAGAGAGAGAAACTTTTTTTTGCCTCTCAGTGTGTATGGGCTGGCCAATGGCTCCCCACTCCGTAATACTTGTGCAACCCATACCAGCATTTTTCGTAAAATTGTTTTACTCAGTTTAATTTTTTTATTTAGCTATATCTTATATATTTCTTTAAAAATATCAAGTAAACGACAAAAAAATTATTACGGTTGCTAGTATTTGTAGGTAAAAAAATTAATAAATAAAAATAAAACGAGGGTGGCCACTTTTTTTTTGCATCTCAGTATATATATATATTGGCTGGCCAATGGTTCCCCCTCCATGATAATCGTGGATGCCCATAGCAGCATTTTTCATAAAATTGTTTTACTCAGTTTAATTTTTTTAGTTAGCTACACCTTATATTTTTCTTTTAAAGTATCCAGTAAACGACAAAAAATTATAACAATTGTACTATTTACTAGGGGAAAAACAACTAGGGTGGCCACTTTTTTGCCTCTCAGTATATACTGTAAATTGTATTCGGCCAATGCACCCCCTCCCCAATGCATACCCATAAAAGCCATTTTAATTATTGTACTGAATTGAATATTTTCTGTTGTTTCCATAGCAGCATTTTTGGTAAAATTGTTTTAATAAATTTAATTTTTTTTAGTTAGCTATCTTATATTTTTCTTTAAAAATATCCAGTAAACGAAAAAAATTATTATGATTACTAGCATCTACTAGTTTAAAAAAATAAAAATAAATTATTAAATAAAAAAAAGAAAAAGGAAAAGAAAGAGGGTGGCAACTTTTTTTTGCCTCTCGGAGTGTATTGGCTGGCCAGTGGCTCCCCTCCATAATAATTGTGCATACCCATAGCAGCAAAAAAAGCAAAAAAATCCATACCCAGGCAAAATTGTTTTACTCAGTTTAATTTTTTTATTTAACTATATCTTATATCTTTCTTTAAAAATATCCAGTAAACAAAAAAAAAATTATTATGGTTGCTAGTATTTGCTGGTAAAAAAATAAAAATAAAATGAGGGTGGCCACTTTTTTTTGCATCTCAGTATGTATTGTAAATTGTATTCGGCCAATGCTCCCCCTCCCCAATAATTATTCATACCCATAAAAGTCATTTTACTTATTATACTGAATTGAATATTTTCTTCGTTTCCATAGCAGCATTTTTGGTAAAATTGTTTTAATAAATTTAATTTTTTTAGTTGCTATACCTTATATTTTTCTTTAAAAATATCCAGGAAACGAAAAAAAAATTATTATGATTACTAGTATTTACTAGTTAAAAAAAAAATATATTAAATAAAAAAAAGAAAAAGGAAAAGAAAGAGGGTGGCAACTTTTTTTTGCCTCTCAGAGTGTATTGGCTGGCCAGTGGCTCCCCCTCCATAATAATTGTGGATGCCCATAGCAGCATTTTTCATAAAATTGTTTTAATCAATTAAATTTTTTTAATTTAAGTATACCTTATATTTTTCTTTTAAAATATCCAGTAAATGACAAAAAATTGTAGCAATTGTACTATTTACTAGGGAAAAAATCTAGGGTGGCCACTCTTTTTGCCTCTCAGTGTATATTGTAAATTGTATTCGACCAATGCTCCCCCTCCCCAATAATTATTCATACACATAAAAGCCATTTTACTTATTGTACTGAATTGAATATTTTCTTCAGTTTCCATAGCAGCATTTTTGGTAAAATTGTTTTAATAAATTTAATTTTTTTAGTGAGCTATACTTTATATTTTTCTTTAAAAATATCCAGTAAACAAAAAAAAAATTGTGATTTTTATTTACTGTTTAAAAAAATAGTAAATAGTAAAATTGTATTTACTAAACTAGTAAAAAAAATAGTAAAATTGTATTTACTAGTTTAAAAAAATTAAAATAAATTATTAAATAAAAAAAAGAAAAAGGAAAAGAAAGAGGGTGGCAACTTTTTTTTGCCTCTCAGAGTGTATTGGCTGGCCAGTGGCTCCCCCTCCATAATAATTGTGCATACCCATAGCAGCATTTTTGGTAAAATTGTTTTACTCAGTTTAATTTTTTTTATTTAACTATATCTTATATTTTTCTTTAAAAATATTCAGTAAACGACAAAAAATTATTACCATTGCTAGTATTTGCTGATAAAAATTTTTAAAAATTAAAACGAGGGTGGCTACTTTTTTTTTGCGCCTCAGTGTATTTTGTAAATTGCATTCGGCCAATGCTCCCCCTCCCCAATAATTATTCATACCCATAAAAGCCATTTTACTTATTGTACTGAATTGAATATTTTCTTCGTTGTTTCCATAGTATTATTTTTGGTAATAAATTTAATTTTTTAGTTAGCTATACCATATCCAGTAAACTACAAAAAATTATTATGATTGCTAGTATTTACTAGTTTAAAAAAATAAATAAATTATTAAATTTAAAAAAAGAAAGAGGGTGGTGCATTTTTTTTTTAACAACGATCTATCTAATTACAGAATGGAGGAAAAAAGGAGTGAATATTTACGTTGAGATCGATTTTTTTTAAAAGTATAAGATTCCACTAAAAAAATTGTAGTTTTATATGTAATTTATTTAAATAATTAATTGTATTGAGCCACCGATTTATGCTTATGGACGTTTTACATCGAGTTGGTGATTCATTTACAACTTTCCCGTTATATTTACATGTTTTCCGGTTTTCTAATACCTCAATTAAAATATTGAAAGCATCAATTTATTGTATTTAGCATATAAATCTGTAATTAATAATTACTGCCCGGGGCCGGAGGCGGATCTGTTTCTACGGAGTACGGAGTCTTGGTTGAATTAACTTATAAAAAGCCTGGCCGAACTGCGCAGGCGATTCATGACCCGTTAGGCCCAAACCCCGAACTATTCGACAGCAGTGTGTCAATGAATTTGATGCGGAACTCTTATTAAAAATTATGTATGATGATGTGGTAATGTTTATGGGCGAGACATCTACCTCCGAGTGTATACCGGGGTACAGAAAGCGTTTGACTGTCGAAAAACTAAAACACGCACGGTCCGAGGAGATGCGCGCATGCGTTCACATGGAAGGCCGTTGCGTGCGCATTAGCACAATTTAGTCGAGCACTTCGTAGCGTAGGTTTTGACGTGTCGGTAATACCAAAGTTTTAAATTTTAGAAACTCCGCAGGCCCTAGACGTTGCGGAAAAGCGGTACCGGTTCGGGCCAAAAAGGGGAAACATGTGCGCCAACGTGGTTTCGATGGACCTTCTCGAGTTTCTCCTGACCAGCCCCAACGTCTTTCAGTCCTTGCCCCTTCCACAGAAACAAGAAATAGTGAGCAAACGGCCGACACCGAACATCGACCTTTCCAGCAACGACGAAGAAGGCATCATCCACTTCGACGTGGAATGGTATTCGGCCTACGACTGGCTCACCGGAAGCCGGCAGAGGAAGAAACTCTACTGTTTCATCTGCCTGGTCATTGGGCAGTGCACTCAAGTGGCCGATTTGTTTTCTTCTCTCAAGAACTTCCACAAGAAGGCGCATGCTCACGAGACCTCGAAGGGCCACGTGCAGTGCTCGGAGAAATTCGTCCGGATACTCACGTACAACAAAAAGGTAAATCCGATCGAGTTTGTCCAGGCGAAAGACTTTTTTAAAATTAGAAGAAACCTTTTTAAAAAATTCGTTCGCTTCTTGGCTTTGACGAACAAGACCAAGTTTCTTCAACTGATACCTGTGTATACAGACTGTTTCAAAGATAGTGTTGATTTTTTAGCCAATAACGACATCCACTTCCCATACGATTGGGAAAATCATTTAAAATCCGTTACGAACAACGACGCTCAGAACGAGATACTGGACCTTCTTCACGAAGGCGTCAAAGAACACATCCGCCATGAAATCGCCAATTGCGATTTCGTGTCAGTCCAAGTGGACGACATGTCCGAGTACACCTCCAGGCCGACGTTTAGCATTCTCTTCAGGTATCTTGTCAACTATAAAGTCGTCGAAAGATTCGCTGGGTTTTTCGAGATTCCCAAAGACCAGTCGGAGTTGTATTTCTGCGAGACTGTCCTAAACCTCATCAAGGATTGGGGCGCGGAAGACAAATTGGTTTGCGTCTCTAACGACAGCAAGGCGACAAAATTGACGAGCAACAAGCTCCAGGAGAGAAACATCCTCTGGCTCCACAGCGCCAACTATAACCTTAATTTAGTCCTTCTTAAAGTCGCTTTCGACCACCCCGACGTGAGGGAGTTCGCCGGTTTTGTCGCGACGATAGCCTCCTTCTTCAGCGACGTCAAGAGAGATATGAGACTCAGGGCCGAGGGGTATCCCGTCCCCAGGGAATTCACCGAACCCGGCGCCTCGTTGGAAACTTATATCTGGATAATAAAAACAAAGTTCACCCAGTTGGATTCAGCGATAGTGTACATTTTAGAAAGTGGCAACTGGGACCTGGAAACGACCTGCATGGCCAAATTCATCTACGACATAATGCAATCCGACGTATTCGTCTATCTCCTTTGCCTTTTTTCGAGGACGTTTATCATTTCTGACCATGTAAGTTGCGTGATGAGAATAATATCGTTCAAAAATTTGAAAATGTGCGCAGACGAGATCAATCAGTTTTTTACCAACATCAAAGATATACAGAGCCCGAGCTCGCTGCGAAAAATACACGTCGAGAGCGTGAAGATGCGGGAGAGGAAGAACACCCAGCCGAAGCAGGTCGTCCTGAACAAGCTCACCGAAGAAATCATCCGCCTCATGCAGCAAGAACTCGGTTCGATGTTTTTCGATCATTCCAAACTGAAATTTTTCCAGCTCCTCGACGAACAGAAATTCGAGACGTTCGGCAAAGCCTTCCCTTACGACAATCTGATGGATCTCACCGCTCTGTACTCGTTTTTCGACGAGGAGAGGCTGGAAACCGAGCTGGCCGTCATTTACGAAGACAACACGAAGCGGGTGCCGGCGAGGGACCTCTATCTCTACATTGTCGAAAACGGTCTGGTGTCCATTTACCCGCAGACGTTGAAGCTCATCGGCCTTTTCCTCACCCTACCGGTCTACGTGGCGGAGGAGAACGCAGAGAAAAGGACGTACGAAAGAATTAAAAAATTCGCGAAATGCTACGCCACCCTAGAACACTTCTCCAGGCAAGGTATGCTTTTAATCGAAGACGCCCTACTCATGGAACTGCTCAATAACGAGGACATCATGGATACATTTGTCGATGCATACTGTCAAAATCATAACCTATTTCATCCCGTCTGAGCGCACCTTATATCACGGATCCAATTGTATAAATGACACTCTAAAATATTATCCCTTAATTTGGCTGTGGAAATGTTTTGCATACGTATGTCAAGAGAATTTGGTTTTAACAAATTCAGGTCATTTCATTCGTTTATGTTTTATCTTATATAACTTGCTAAGTAGTATTTCTTAAAATTATAAATTATATAAGATTTATTATATTTATTTTAATGAATTATTTGAAATCAAATAGGAAATTAGATAATTAAGTTAAGACTGAAGAGTTAAGAACAAACAATTGTGGAAAATCTTCCTGATCTCTAAATACACAATCACCGGTTTACTTTCAATTTGCCTGCTAAAAACTTAATATTGACTGAACATTTTATTCATCCAAACTTCTCCACGATCGTTGTTAAATTTTTAAGTGTATTGTTTAGCCGTTAAAATTTAATGTAGCAACATGCTTTAATATTAACCGTTCGGACGTTTTCTCGTGTAAACAGTTTCCAAAACATAAACAGTACTTCAAAACTGCATATTTAAAAAGTTTAACTTGCTAGATATCGTCAGATCGCGCGCATGATTTTGTTTAAATTTTTTTTTAGTAACTTTCGAAAATCTGTTGACAAACCTTTTGTAGAAGAATTAAGCCACATAGAATTAATGAAGGACATTAATAAATTCCGGAAAAGTTTGGAATTTGATTCGATTTTGGTCATTTGAACGGTTAAAAAATCACTTTCCAATAAGTATATTTTTAAGTAAAAAAATTGTTATCTTGTTCACAAATGCTGTTTCCTTTAAGTGTTGATTATTAGCAATAGTGATGATGATGTTAATTATAATTAATTAAAAATGCCTGTTGCCCATTTACCAAGAATGAATTCTCTACATATCACAATATGTGCGGATTCTGTAAAGAACCAGAGGCGACACTATCTCACGACAGCAACAAACTGGTGCTGCTCTTGCCCGCAGGAGGAAGTGTTTCGGGACGTAGAAGAGATTCAACAACCGAAATCGGACCTAGCTCCTTGATTAAATAGGACTTACCGTTGTGCTTTAAGTATCTTTTAAAGGGCGCAGAATAATACACACCCCGACTAAATACAGCACGATAACTATTTTAGAGTTGATGCTTGGTGTTGGTCTGCGAGTCGGTGAACTCATATGAGTATAAATCTAACGAACTATTTTATATGTTCAAACATCTTGTCTAGATAAAATTATGACAAATAAAAATGTTTTCAAAAAGATAGTTCCTTCCCACAGTAAGTTGTTTTTCAACGATCCGGAATAGAACTCCTTCAATCTGATGATGAGCTAAAAGCTCGAATTTCGTATCGTTAGAAAACAACTTACTGTGAGTAGGAACTATATTTTTAAAAGATTGAACACCGCACTCACTGCACTATTCATCATTTCTATAAATAAAAATGTTACAAAAAAGGAAACTTAATGGGATGACCTGGTATAAGTGTGTTGAATGTACATATGTATTTCTGCTGTGCACAAATTAATATATTGTGCCTGAACTATTATTTTCACCTGTGACTTGTTTGTAACAAACCGAATTTTTATAGGTGTACATATTTAAACAAAATGTTTTAAATATATTATTATTTTTGAATATGCTAGTTTTAAATGTAAATAATTTTGTTCCGTATGTTATGAGGAGTGTACGTTACAAATAAAATTCTCTATAATTACGTTAGTTTTGTTTTAAATATTCGATCCTATCTTTAAAACTAGTACTTGATTTGATGAACTTACGATTCGCTTAATTTTACTGATCATGCTGTCCTTCAAAAAGTGGAGGACAAGGCTGAATAAAGAAAAATATTCTCTCGCTCATATTGAAAAAACAGTCTGCCCTCATCGTACATCAACAACGGATTTTCATTCAAGTCAAATACTTAGCACTATTTCTAGACAACAGGCTGACGTGAATCCCCACGGCTTAAGAGACAACACGTTTCCACTAAACCTACCATCCTTCTTGCATCTTTTGCCGTTGACACAGGTGTATCATCATCTAACCCCGATCCAGCAGTTGCTTAACAAAATGTGCAGAGACATATCACAGGAAGAGCAGATTGATGTAGACAATGGGAATTGAAGTTAAATGAAAGCAAGTGCGTTCATGTTACATTTACAATCGGAAGAAACTCTTCACAATCTACTACAACAATATCCCAAAGGCCGAACACACCTTCTAACAAACTGAGATCCCGCAGGAGGAAGTGTTTTGGGACGTATAACGTAACCATACAAGAGATCGAACCACTGAAACCGGGTCTACTAATCAAGTTACAAGATAGTATAGGATACAATAGCTCTTGATGGTAATAATATACACCCCGAGTAATACTGTCCACTTCTGTCCCCAAGGCCAACTCGTTCGTTACCTCGCTTATACACGACTGAAACGACAAGACGTAAATAGCTCTACTCCACCAACTTACAGCACAAAATCCAAGCTGTGGACAAAAAACAAACTTACTATCATCTACAAAACGCTTGTACGACCATTGGACGTACGGTACAGATCTTCAGAGAACCGCTAAACCTACCATTATCCAACGTCTGCAATGCTTTCAGTATAAAGTACAAAGATCAATCATAAATGCTCCATATTCTGTATCCAAAAAATTACCCTCCACAACAACCTTAAAATCCCACATATCCAAAAATTAAATCCCAAATAATTTATCAAGTTCTACAATAATCTCTCCCATCACCCCAATAGGCTCGTCCAACAGAACAGACTTCTGAAATCCCAGAAGGGGTCTCAAGAGGAAATGGCACTGCGACCTCCTTTCCGATGAGTAAGTAGTGATGTTTATTTGAGAATCACATTGATTGTTTGCTCCCCTCATTGTAAATATGTGTCATCAAATTGTTGTATCATAAATCGCAGATTGTAATAAAATATTTAAGATTTTCTTTTTATTTAAATCAATAAACCCTGAATACAAATTTTGGGAAAATGAGAAAATTGTCTCCTAATTTTCGCTTTTCAAATACGTCTGATTTTTTAGAAAATCACACCAACGGTGATAAATTTGAAACGATTCCACCAATGTACAGGAATCTTACAGGGGTTTTAGAATCTTATAAATTATAGGTAATGGAATAAACTGCACCTTCGTGAATAAGTTATGACCGCAGAAATAAAATAAACAAACGTTTGAGCAGCTTTTAATTTAATTTTTTTATTTATTTTATAATGACATAATAAATAAACGTTGTTGAAATAGCTGGGGGGGGAAACTACTTTCTAATTATTCAGAAATCGTGAGATGCGGTCTGGTGTGATGTAGGTTTCAGAAAAACATTTTCTTTATCGTGCCAACGTTTCGATCTTTATTGAGATCATCTTCAGGGCTCAAAGTGTTTGTCTTCTGTGTAATTCTGCCATTCTTGCGTGTCAGGTTGAGAGTGGACACTCTAAAAACGTTGGCACGATAAAGAAAATGTTTTTCTGAAACCTTCATCACACCAGACCGCATCTCACGATTTCTGAATAATTATCGATTAACGGTCACTAATCATCACACATTTCTACTTTCTAATGGTTTGTATAAGAATTCAATGTGGTTAAAGTTCAGAATAGTTATTCCTTATTACTGATTTATATATGGTCAAATCTACACATGCATATACATATACACTCAAATATGTGATTTGAGACTGTCACTTATTGCAACCCACCAACAATTCCAGTTTTTGTACTTTACACACATTCACGCTAAAAAATACTCTTAATACACGCTAGGGATACATATTATTATGTATAATAAAACAACAATAAAGGAGGGCGTCGGTGGGCGTAACGGTTAAAGCTGGTTCTGCAATCGAACCCGATGAAATGGACTTTTTTTTCCAAAAACACCGGTACCTCAAAGGTTGATATGGCCTCTGCTGTTGGGAGTACTCGTAAAAAACAAAAACAAAAAAAATTAATTTAAAAAACCCTGTTACCTCCACAAATAGAAATAGATAGCTAGGTAAATAAGCTAAACGAAACTCGATAAATAAACACAGAAACTCGCTGCCGTGCTCAATAAAAAATCTCATCAAATGGCATTCCTACGCGCTCTCTATATGCACCCCATCGAGAAACCTTACTTTGTATGCTGGACACAAATACATACACGGACATACACGGTTTTTGCCTCAAAAGTATTCGTATATGTCAACCAATGAGTTATATATGATACTTATGAATCCGAAATGTTAAAAAAAAGTTTTTTTGACCTACTTTATGGGATTCTTTCTGAGGTTTTCGTAACTTTTTATATTATCTTATTTCATTTATAAGATATTCCTTATTATTTTTTTATCGTAGATAAAAATACAAATCTGGTGATACATAACGACCTTGTATACATGTACAACAAAGACAGAAAAATATATTTAATAAAAAATACTTAATTAGCTAATTTTTTTAAATTTATTATTTTTGGCTACTAGGATTCATTAACAAGAACGCTGGGACACGTGACAAATATTTTTTGACCTACTTTCCGCAAAAAATGTTCCATTAAAATTAGTGATCCCTCGTCCGTAGGCTTAATGTTTTCACTGATAATGACAAAACCTAAACCTTATTGACAAACGCGAAAAGAAGAGAAATGAAGCTTTCTAACGGTTGTAACAGATTTATTAATTAATATTTTAATAATTATTAAAATATTAATTATTAAACCGCTAGTGGTTGTGCTAAAAACAGATCCGAAATGTTTTGGATGTATCTTTTGGTTTTCGTAACTTTTTATGTATCTTAATTAATATAATATTAAATCTGAATATTATATTTTATCCTACTTTTTCTCTCCCCCCGTAGTACCTCTACTGGAAGGTTTATTGACATCTTTACATGTTTCTTGGAATCCATTACATGTAATTTAACAAAAATTTTATATCTGATTAAATCATGGCATCCTGGCGTCATTTAGAAGTGGGCAGAGTAAATAATATGACGAATTGTTTGTTTAGTGTTGCTGCACATG